TCACTGTAAAGAATGAGAACACATGGACACAGGGAGGGGAACAACACACACTGGGGCCTGTCAGGGAAGGGGCAGGGGAGGGAGAGCATTAGGAAAAATAGCTAATGCAAGCTGGGCTTAATACCTAGGTGATGGGTTGATAGGTGCAGCAAATCACCATGGCACACGTCTCCATACGTAACATACCTGCACATCCTGCACATGTACCCCAGAACTTAAAAATAAAATTTTTTTTAAAAAGAATGAGGGTTCATTGGAGAAATGGCTGATTCATTTCTAAATGAATTAATTTAGAATGAATTCTAATTTCATTCTAAATGAAATTAGAGCTAAAGCATGAAAAAATACGATGGGCCTGAAACATCTTTTGATGCCAGAAAGCAAGGAAAGACACAAAGAAGGATGTACCAAAAAGACAGAGAAGCCAACCTGAAGGGATGCCCACTGGCTAAATTAAAGACAACTGGAGCATTAAAATAAATAATGGTAGTAGCGCATTGCCATACATTGAATAAAATAGGAAGCTATGAATCCACATAGATATTAATAAGCAAGTGAACATATGGAAAGTTTGGTGAGGAATGAGATATTTATGTAGTTCTAAATTACTCCCCACAAAATACATATTAATTATAAAGGAAACTTTACTCTGGAGAGGAAGATAATACCATATTAATGAAATAAGCAAAATGTGAATCAAGAGTAAAATAACAAATAGAAATTGGACATTATTTAACAGAAGTCAAGAAAAGAAAGAACAGGGCATTTCTCCTGTGATATTCCTGCCAAAGACGCAGAATATGAATCTAATCGTAAGTTTTTCATACTTGGCTATAACGATAAAAACTAGGATTTGAAAAGCTTGACAAATCATAAATGAAGAGAAATAAAAATTTGACTATGAGCATATTTTCAATAAAAACAATAGAAATCAGAAGAGAAGACAATATCTTAAAAGTATTTACCCATGTAAACTCTACTTGAAAGATAAGGATAAAATAAAGACATTGAGAAAAACACAAACTAAGTTGCCACGAAAAAATCTTTACTAAGAATAAATGACAAAGAAATCAAAATATGAAGAAACCTCAATGAAATGAGTCTGAAATTGAAAATCTTCTACATAAAAACCTCTAGGACTAAATGGCTTCACTGATGAATTCTGTCAAAGATTCAGAGAATAACACCAATCTTAGACAAACTCTTCCAGATAATGAAAAAGGAAACATTTCCCAGCTCATTTTCTGAGGCCCATATCATTCTGAATTCAAAATCAAAGGCCATTAAAAGAGAACTGTAGACCAATATTCCTCAAGAACATAATATAAAAATCCTTTTTAAAAGGTAATAAATCAAATCCAACCACATAGAAAAAGACATAATATACTATGATCAAGATTTTTTTGACAAGAAATTCAAAATTCGTTAAAAATCTGAAAACAAATCAACGTACTTCATCATAATAATAGAATAAAGGTAAACAACCACATCATTATATCAATGGTGTGGAAAAAGCATTTAAAAATATTCAACACCATTTTATGACAGAAACACTCAGCAAACTAAAAATAGAAGGAAACTTACTCAATTTAAGAACATCTGTTTAAAACCTAGAACTACCATAATATTTAACATCATACTTTAAGCCCAATGTTTGATCACAAAACAAGGCAAGACAATCCACTCTCATCACTTCTGTTTAAAATTATATTGGAAGTCCAATGCCACCACCAACACAAAGAGATAAAACCCACATAGATTAGAAGAATAGAAGCAAAACAGTCCTCATTTTCCAGCTCTATAACTATGTATGCAAAAAAGCCTTGAAAATCTACATACACTAGAATAATAAATGTTAGCAGGATTTCAGGATTCAATACCAATATACAAAAATCAACTACATCTCTATATTCTATTAATGTGTGATTAGAAAATAAATATTTTAAACTTCATTTATAATAGTAATAAAAATTAGTGGAAAATTTAATAAAAATGCCTAACACTTATACAAAAAAAGCTTCAAGGCCGGGCGCGGTGGTTCAAGCCTGTAATCCCAGCACTTTGGGAGGCCGAGGCGGGTGGATCACGAGGTCAGGAGATCGAGACCATCCTGGCTAACACGGTGAAACCCCGTCTCTACTAAAAAATACAAAAAACTAGCCGGGCGAGGTGGCGGGCGCCTGTAGTCCCAGCTACTTGGGAGGCTGAGGCAGGAGAATGGTGTGAACCTGGGAGGCGGAGCTTGCAGTGAGCTGAGATCCGGCCACTGCACTCCAGCCTGGGCGACAGAGCGAGACTCCGTCTCAAAAACAAAACAAAACAAAAAGCTTCAAAACATTGCAAATCAGAAGTAATAAGGACCTAAACAGACGCAGAGATAACCATTGGAATAGTCAGCCCTGTCTAGATGGCAGTCCTTTACATACTGATTTAGAGATGCAAGGTAATTCCAACCAAAATTCTAACAAGATTGTTTTTAACTGGTAAGCTTATTTAAAAATTTACATGAAAAGGAAGAGATCTAGACTAGCTGTCTTTGTCTGTTTGGGCTGCCATAACAAAATGCTGTCAACCTGGCAGCTTGTAAACAACAAATTTATTTCTCACACTTCTGGAGACAATAGGCAAATTCAGTGTCTGGTGAGGGCTGCCTTCTGGTTCATAGAAATGGCGCCTTCTCCCTGTGTCCTCCTGTGGTGGATGGGATAATCAGCTCTGTGGGGTCTTTTCTATAAGGGTGTCAATTCCATTCATGAAGGTTCCCTTTCAAAATGAGATCACCTCCCCAAGGCTCCACCTCTCCATACCATCACATTCGTGATTAGGCTTTCAACACAGGAATTTTAGGAGGATACAAACATTCAGACCACAGCACTTACCAAAATAATTTTGGAAAAAAATTTAAAACTCACACAACCTGATTTCAAGGCAATATAAAGCTACATTAATCAGGACAGAGAGATACTGAAGTAAAGATAGATCCATAAATCAATGGAAAGTTCAGAAATAGACCTGCACTTATATGGAAAATTGATTTTCAACGTAAGTGCCAAGTTATTTAAAGAGTGGAAAGTGCGCGTTTCCAAAAACGGTGATGAAACTGCTGTGTATATGTACCAAAATAAAAAGAAAAATCATACAATTCCTTCACACTATACACACAAATTTTAAATGAATCAGGGACCTAAATGTATAAGCTAAAACTATAACACTTAGAGAGGAAAACATGGAAGAAATCATTTTAACACTAGCTTAAGAAAATATTCCTTGGACGAACACAAAGAGTGTATAGACATTGCTGGTATGAAAAAAAGTGGCACAGCCATTTTGTAAACAGTACAGCAGTATGTTAAAAGGTCAGCCCTGCACTTACCATATATCCTAGGTATTTACCTAAGAGAAATGGAAATGTATGCACACACAAACTCTTTTATGTGAATATTCATAGCAGCATTATTCATAATAGCCCCAGACTGAAAACAGCAAATCCAAATGGTACCAACTAATCAAATGGTAAAGATGAACAAATTTGATATATTATATTATGAAATACCACTTACTAATAAAAAGTAATGAAATACCATGATCAATCTCAAAACAGTGCTAAGCGAACAAAGTCAAATCTAAGACTATATACTCTATCTTCCATTAGAATTAAATCCTTAAAAAGGCAAAACTAAAGGAATGAAAATCAGATCAGTGTTTGCCACAGGGCTGGGAGTGAAGTCTCGCAATGAAACTTCTTTAAGGTGAGAGAATTATTCTGTATCTTGATTACGGTGGAGGTTACAGTGCTGTATATAATTCCCCAAATTGACAAAACTGTTCTCTTAAGATGGATGGACTTTATGTAGATAATACCTTAATAAAATATACTTTTAAAATGTGTTAAATTGCATTCTTATATCACAATATACACAAAATTCTATTTTAGATGTTTGTAGACTTTAATATGAAAGATACACTTTGACAGTAAGATATAATATGTTCTTTTCTGATCCGGGAAATGAAGCATTATTTTTGGAACACAAAAAGCACTAGCCATAAATGCAAAGATTAGTACATTCAGTTTTGTCAAAATTAAAAATGCATAGTCATTGAAAACAAAGTAAACAACTTGCCCTGGTTTGCCTGGGGCTTTCCACGTTTTAGCAGTTTATAATCCTGTGTTCCAAGAAACCCCTCAGTCTCGAACAAACTGGAACAGTGAGTAACTCTATCAAAAGTCATTAAACAAAGTGAAGACAACCCCCAACTGTTAACCAGTATTTTCCACAGGCGTAAAAGACAAATAATTCTCTAGAATATTAGTAGGTAAAAGATGGCAAATATCTTATTGATAAATTCACAGAAGCCTTAAACGGACACTTCCAAGAAGAGGGTACATGAAAGGCGAAGAATCATAAAAGGATGTTCTTTCCAGTCTCTCTTTTTTAAAAATCTGGAAAATGAAAATTAAAAGTGAGATACTGTAGTGATAGACCATTAGAAACCAACATGTTTTTCCAGAAATGTTTAGAACCTGAGGGCACCAAGTATAGGAAAGAATTTGGGGAAATAAACACTTGTATAAAAAAACTCTAATACAGGCCGGGTGCGGTGGCTCACGCCTGTAATCCCAGCACTTTGGGAGGCTGAGGCAGGTGGATCACAAGGTCAGGAGTTCAAGACCAGTCTGGCCAATATGTTGAAACCCTGTCTCTACTAAAAAATACAAAAAATTAGCTGGGCGTGGTGGCAGGTGCCTGTAGTCCCAGCTACTCGAGAGACTGAGGCAGAAGAATCGCTTGAACCCAGGTCACGGAGGTTGCAGTGAGCTGAGATTGTGCCACTGGGCCCTAACCTGGGTGACAGAGTGAGACTCCACCTCAAAAAAACAAAGCAAATTTTTTAAAAAAGCCTCTAATATATAAACGGATGAAAACATTCAGTAGAAAAGAATTTGCTAAATAAAATTATGAAGTGAAAATTGTGTATATCCTATAAACCAGTAACCTTACCCCTAATTATGGAGTTGTAGAGACATGGAGCATGTATATCAATTGATATTCGGAGGAATCTTTATGGTAGTCTTGATGCTAGTAGAAATAAAGAGAAGGAAAAATAGAAGCAGCATAAATGTCCATTGAAAGAAGATGGATAAATTAATTAAATATATCCACACAGTGAAATACTGTTTAGCTGTGAAAACGAGAATCATAGCTATGATTTTCAACATGGATTTTAAAAACAATATGAAAAAAATCAAGTTGTAAAAGAACACCTATAATGGGATACAGTTTTTCCAAGTTCAAAACCAAGGAAAACAAAGAATTATTAATTTATGGATATATGTATGTGGCAATATTATTAAGAAAACACAAGAATTTAATTTTTACTTATTACACTACTAAAATAAAAATGATAATAGCATCAAGTGCTAGTAAAGATGTAGAGAAATGGGCATATTTACCAAGAGAGTATGTGGTTGCCACAATATTTAAAAGTAATGATTTTCATGATGATATATATACTAAAATAAAAAGTAATGATTTTAGTGATGCTATCTACTCAAGTCAAAATAAATATACATGCTTGAACTCAGGAATTTTATGTACTGGAATTGATCCCATAAAAATAAAATTGCTTCTAAGTAAATGTGTTTGTGCAAAGATGCATCATTAATTGTGTTAAAAACAAAATGGAAGCAAATGAAATACCCATCAATAGAAAAGTAAATAAATCAATGGTGGCATATTACTCTGCAAAAGTATCCAGCTAATCGAAAGGATGAGTTAGACTTTGAGAGATAGTTATTTAATTTTGTTAGATGAGAATAAAAAATTGCAAAACGTGTACATATGATCTTGCTTTTGTACATAATTTATTTGTAAAATAAATAACTCAAGTTCTAAGCATTTGTGCATTAGTACATATATACTTGTTTTGTTGTGGGGAAAGAAATGAATTAATGCACATCAACTTGCTAATATTTCTTACCTTAGGAATGGAAATAAAAAAGGAATGGGAAGAGATGAGTTCTTTCTAAATACAACTTTGCATTGTTCTATTGGTTTAGAAGAGGATATGTTACTTTGGTAATATAAAAAACTTCAAACGAAAATATTTATTCAAACAGTTTATCTCCTTTAGGGAAATTTTGGAATGTTTAGTTTCCAAAATGTGTTCCAGATCATTGTATTTGAGGATACATTTAAATAATTATCTTAGCTAAATGATGTTACATTACTTAATAATTTTACTTGTGATATGAATTTTTAAGAGGATGATTTCACTTGTAGAATTTCTTAAACATTTGATCACTTGGAATATCTCAAGAACTACAGCACCATAAAACTAATTTTCTGAAATAAAGTCCTAATCCTACATCCAAGACATAACTGCTCTCAACCTGAAGTACGGTTCTTTCTAATCTTTTTGCCAGCATCTTTACTTTGTGTAGATCATGGTACAAATAATTTTACTTCCTTTTTCTTCTTAATGTTATATCATGAACATTGTTCTGATCAGTGTACATATTTTTATGGACATCAGTGATAATTTACTTGCAATTCCGGTATAAATGTTTGTGGAAAATATAACCAACACAATCCTAAATTGGTAATGCAAGATAATAAAGAATATGATTAAGCTGCAAATAGTGTGCTTGTCTGGTTCACACTAAAGGTTTTAAAAGGGCTGACCAAAAATGATGGATGTCTGGAGATAAGAGGAAAGACATTGTGCAGAGAAGGGATTTGAGCAAAGGGTGGAAAGACTAGAACACAAGATCAAGGCAGCCCTAGCCAGGATGAGAGCGAGCACATATAACCTAAACAATAAATAAGCATGCTCCAGGTAGGAGGTATAGATTCCAGTAAAGACGAACCTGACTGGTTAATGCAGGAGTTCACAAAGGCTTAAGGGTAAGATCCAATTCTTAAGCATTCTGTAGAAATAAGTGATGCTAGTCATTGTGTTGCAGAGAGATCTGGAATGTGGTCATTGAGACCTACAATAAAAAGATGTATGTTTTCTGCATACACTGAGTTATCTTCACTGCTCCACGACAATTCTCCTGTTCATAGACATGCCCATCTCTTGAAAAGTGGAAGCCACTGTCAGGATTTAATTGAAAAATGCATAAGCCATTAGGGAATAATAGTAAGTACTGACATTTTTACTGTAATTTACAAATCCCTCATATATGCATTATCTAATTTTATCTGTTCAACTTGTGAGAGTTAAGGATTGCTTTCTTAACTTAATAAATTAAAAAATTAAGACTCAGAGAGCTTGAGTGGTTGGTCCAAAGTCACAACATTAATTAGTGAATGAGCTGGGATTCGCACCCAGATGTTCTATCTTTTGCTCTTTCTGCTTGACTGTATTCATTCTTCGGCATTGTTACCTTGATGATAAAGACAAAAGATATTGGTAGGTTTATGTTGTTATGTGTCGAGTCTTCATATTTTAAAATTCGAATTTACTTTATAGTCATCTCTTCATATAATTATTTTTTCCAACAAGGATCCATGGGCAGCACGTCTCTAAGCTGTTGGAGAGCTGTGAATATATTTCTATTGTCACATGCATGAAAAATAACTGGGATATGTGTAAAGATTTTTGGGTCACAACCTTCTTCTCTTCAAACTCATGAGCTGTCACTCCTCTTCATTCTGGCTTTTGATAGTGAAGAAGTCTGCGTCAGACTTATTTGTGCTTTTTGTTAGTAGCCTGTTTTGTTTGTTTCTTTCCTTTTTTCCTTAACTGAGAGTGCTTGTCAAAATTTCCTTTATCCTGGTACATCAATACTGCTGGAATACGTCTTTTTTCACTGATTTCATCAAAGAAGCAAGAGCACTTCTGTCATTACTTTCTAATCTAATTTCCTATGAGGATCTTTTAAAATTATGTCTCTTTTGCCCATGTTGCAGTTGCTTCAGTTTTTTTTTTTTTTTTCCTTTGTGAACTTTTGCACCTTTAGAGCAGACTTCCCCTCCTTGTCCTTCATATTTATTTCTGTTGTGGTTTTCTCACTTGTTTTTTCTTTAGCATTCCAGAATTCCTTCTCAGTTAATTCTCTATGTATTTAATGAATATTTATTGAGTGTTACTCTATGCCATTGATTGTTCTAAGTGTTGGGGATACAACAGAGAACAAGAGAAACAAACAAACAAAAATATCTGTCTTTGTGGAGCTTACAAAAGAAAATAGAGCTATGGATAATATTTTAGAAAGTGCCAAATACTTTGTAGATAAATAGAGTGAAAGTGAGGGTCAGAAGAGGGAAACTGAACTTTTATATAGGGTGAGAAAAGAAGATCTTACTAAGAAGGAAATATTTGAGTAAAAACCTCAGGTAGCTGAGAGAGTGAGGCAAACGGATACGTCAAAGAGTATCCCAGACAGAATAAGCAGCAAGTGCAATGGTCCTGAGACAGGAGAATACTTGTGTGTTCCAGGAAGACCCTGGCCAGAGTGAGCGAGAGAGAGCAGTAGGAAATGAGGCCAGCAAGGAATCAAAAGCCAGATAAGGAAAGGCCACATTAGTAAGAGTGAAACTTTTGGCTTTTGTGCTGAATAAGAATGAAAGGCAGTGAAGAGTTTTGAGTAGATGAATAACATGAGTGAATTTGATTTTTTATAGAATTACTCTGCCTTCTGTGCATAGGGCCAAGGGCAGAAAGAGACACATCAGTGAGAAGGCTATTCCATCATCCTCATGAGAGATGATGATGACTTCAACCGGAATGGTAGAGCCATGGGGCTGGATATTTACTGTTGTTCACAATGAGATTTCTGATGAATTGGATGTGGAAACATACATGTCTGTAGTGGGAAACTGGAAGAACAGGGTTACATTTTAACATGGTAAAAACTCTGGGAGAAGTAGGGAAAGGAGACCAGAAATACCATTTAAAGCATAATATTTATGTAATTTTTTTGGTCTGGCTTCTTTTGCTCAAGCATTTATTTGTGACATTCATACTTGTTAACAAATGTAGCCATAGTTTGTTTATTTTCACTGATCTGCGGCAGGGAAAGTTTTCCAAAAAGTTCAGAAAACTTTTCCTGTAAAGAAGACACTAAAAATTTTTGGATTTTGCAGACCTGAGGGCCATTAGCCATAGGCAATATGTAAAAGAATAAGCATGGCTCTATTTCAACAAAATGTGTATACAAAAATAGTAGGCCACATTTGACCCACAGGCTGTAATCTCTTGATCCCTGATCTATACTGTTCTGTTGTGCAACTAGGTCATGGTTTGTTGTCATATCTTTGTTTGTTTGTTTTTAGAGACAGGGTCTCAGGTCTCGCTCTGTCACCTAGGCTGGAATGTAGCGGTGCAATCATAGCTCACTGTAACCTCCAACTCCTGGGCTCAAGTCATCCTCCGGCCTCAGCCTTCTTAGTAGCTAGGACTACAGGTGAGCACCACCACACCTGGCTTCTTCCCTTCCCCTCCCGTCCCCTCCCATCTCCTCCCATCCCCTTCCATCCTCTCCCCCCTCCCCTCCCCTCCCACCCCCTTCCCTTCCCTCCCACCCCCTTCCCTCCCCTTCCCGTCCCCCTACTCATGCCTTCCCCTCCGGCTGCCTTCCTCTTCCTCTCCCCTCCCCTCCTCTCCCCTCTCCTCTCCTTTCATTTCCTTAGAGATAGGGTCTCTCTATGTTGCGCAGGCTGGTCTCAAACTTCTGGCCTCAAGCCATCCTCCTACCTCAGCCTCCCAAAGCTCTGGGATTACAGGCATGAGCCATTGCACCCACATCATTTCATTGTTGATGGGCATTTGGGTTGTTTCAGTTTAGGGTATTACAAATATTGCTTCTAAAAACCTTCTTGAATATGTCTTCTGTTGTGCATTTGCTCACATATCTATTAGGTGTTTGTAAAGAAATGGAATTGCTGGGGTCATAAAGCATGACACTCTTCAGTTTTGATAATGTTATACTTGTAAAAACTAAAGAAAGAGGAAAGAAACATGAAGGGTGGCTCGCTAGTCAAGACAGTTTTATTTTAGAGAAAGCAAACTTGAGAGGAGCTTCTGGCTGAATTAGATCAGAGGCCCACTCTCTTATACACTTAAGAGTTTTTAAGGATTCAGGGTGGGAGAGTTTATCAGAGGCTTGGATTGCTTCTGTGTCTTTTTGTTGTGCTTATCTAGCAGGGAGAGTTGTGTGTTTGTTCCCATACATTTTTCTGCAGTTGCAGGAGTACACCTGAATCTGCTTTTAGCTTCCCTATCTTAGCTCACCTAAAGAAAAAGGAATGTGCTTACTAAGGTCCACTGTTTTACTGGGGTGCATTGTATGAGGGTGAAGTTTGGCAGTTACCCAGTAGACTTTCTCCCAAACTCCCTCTGTGCCCGAGCTGTTTTATCTGTGTTTTAATGTCTGCTCTTTCTGGCTGCTTGTAGTTAGAAGAGAAAGGATTTTCTTAAAATGCATGAAACTGGAAAGGGAGCTGGAATGTAAAGTGGCAGTGTTTGTCCAAGATGACAGTGCTTCTGCTCTGTCAATACTGTTTTCCAAAATCATTCTATGCTTTAACTTCCAAATCTGTGTATGAGACATCCTGTTGTTCCACAATCTCACCAACAATTGGCTACTGTCACCCTTTTAATTTTAATATTCTAATGAGTGTTTAGTGACATGTCATTTTGGTTTCAATTTCCATTACTTGATTATTGATGAGGATTAACACTTTTACGTGTTTATTGGCTGCAGAAGTTTTCTTTCACATGGGACTGGTTAAAAAAATTTTGTCCATATTCCTAAAGCTCTGTGTTCTCATTATTTGATAGAGTGTTTTATAGATTATGGTTATATGTTACAATTACATTTACCTGTACATTTATTCTTTTTGATGTTATTATTCATTCTTGCATTTCAGAACTGCCATATAACATATCTTCTTTCTGCACTGAGGAACTGTTCTTAGTGTTTGTATTGGTGCAAATTCTGCTGGTGATATATTTCCTTCATTTTTGCTTCTTTGAAAAGATCTTAAATTTACCTTAATTCTTGGAGGGACTTTTTTCCTAAGTATATTTTTTTCTTTTTTCTTTTTTTTTTTTTTTTTGAGATGGAGTCTTACTCTTACCCAGGCTGGAGTGCAGTGGTGCAATCTCAGCTCATCTCACTACAACCTCCGCCTCCTGGGTTCAAGCAATTCTCCTGCCTCAGTCTCCTGAGTAGCTGGGATTACAGGCATACACCACCATGCCCATATAATTTTTGTATTTTTAGTAGAGACGGGGTTTCACTATGTTGGCCAGGCTGGTCTTGAACCGCTGACTTAAGGTGATCTGCCCTCCTTGGCCTCCCAAAGTGCTAGGATTACAGGTGTGAGTCACCAACCCCAGTACTACGTATGGTATTTCAGATTGGCTATCCTTTTCTTTCAGTACTTTGAAGATATTATTCCTTCATATTCTGCTTTATTTGTTTCTACTGATAAATAGGCTGTTTTATTGCTGGTTATCTGAAGCTAATATGTCTTCCCTCACTTCACTTTGTTTTTAAGATTTTAATTTTTGCCCTTAGTTTTCAGCAGTCATGTTATCATGGTCCTAGGTGTGGTTTGTTTTATATTAATCTTGCATGAGATTTAGACATTTCCTGAATCTGTACTTTAATTTATTTTGTCATTTCAAGACAATTCTTCTTGTTTTTTGGCCCTTCCCCTTCTTCTCCTTTCCTTCTGGGTCTCCAATTACATGTGCATAAGGCTTTTTTGCTAGATTCTCTATGTATGCTACACATTTTTCTGGATTTTTCATTCTTTTGTCTTTACATGCTTTATTTTTGATATAATAAAATATAATAAAACTTGGGGGTTTATCCACTAGTTAACTAATTCTACTTTTGGCTTAGTCTAATCTGCTCTTTAACTCTTTAACACATAATAAGTTAAGTTATTTATAGTTACTATGTATTTTTCATGTCTACAATTTTAATTTGGTTTCTTTTTATAGTTTTCAAATCCCTGTCAAAATTATCAATCCTATATTTATGTTCTTAAACATATTTAACAGAGTTGTTTATTTGTTTTAACTGTGTCTGACAGCTTTATTATATTTATCACCTCTGCATCCATTTTTGTTGTTCATTGTTTCTCTTGATTTTGTATCATGTTATTTTACTTCATAAAATCCTGTTTCTTTTCTATTGAGCACTGAATGGTCTAAGTAAAAGTATATTCAAAAATTAAGCCTTAGGAGATTTACTTTCTTCTAAAGAAGATGGAAACCTGGAGGATGAACTCAGAAACAATGTAATCTAGTATCAGTTATTTAAAAACTCAAAACTCAGCTTCAATTCCTATGCAGGTTGATCTATTGACCTTTATTCGTAGGATGTAGCCCTTATAGTCATATTCTGAGACCTGAATGGAGTACTACACATCATTAACAAGTATTGAAGTCATATTTTTTTTTTGTTTCCTGTACAAACCATGAGGCTGTTGAAATCTCATCTCGGCTTCCCTACCCCTAATCTACCTTTTGACAAACTGGGAGGATTTCAGAAAGAAAAATGGCTCTAAAGGCCAAACCTATCTCTCAAGATTTTGTTATATTCTTTAATGTTGGCCTTTTAATTCTTTATCTCCTTACTGGCCCTAAAATTCATTCAAATAAATGTGCAAATACTTTTGGTTTTAAACATTTTGCCCATTCTTTGAAAGATTTTTTTCAACACAAGGTTAGTCTGAATTTCATAGTCTGCCATTCAGGAAGCAGAATTTCTGACTTTTCCTCCTATTTTTTCTATTTTGGGCAATTATTTTAATTGTGCTACTGCAGTGTTTTCAGTTTCTTAGCCATCTTTTACTTCACTAATCTGCATATTTTCATCTCATCCTAGTATCTTTTCTCCTAGCCAGTTCTTCCTTAAGGGACTCTGCCTTTGTTTCAGAGAGGCAAGGTTTTCTCACATCCTGCTGAAAATACCAGGCTGTTTTCTCAAATATCCACAAGGTTTTTATTCTTCTGAGTTTTCAGGACAATGTTCCCTTCCTTTTATCTAAAAATTTGTCCCCCAATTTATTCAAATTGGTCTTTCTGGTTTTGTTGTTGTTGTTGTTGTTAGAAGTTCTTTCAGACTCGTTGACAGAGTTTATAGATCACTATTAATTGCTCTCTGTCAGCTACAGTGGTCAGCTATAGACAGGTCTATAGCTGAGTGGCAGGTTTATTTGTACAACTCTTAGACCAATTATCAAGCAGCTGTCACTGAATACATTTGAATTGGATAAAATTATATTTTCTTTGAAGGTATAAAACAGCAAACATCGTAAGCCCCAGTATATGTACTCTATCACAGTTCTTCCTGTTTCTGCCTTTCCCCTCCTACTCATAATACCACCTAGAGGATTTTCCCTCTAGTATGCAGCACTACAGAGTGTTTGTGTGTATGTTTAAGATACTCCAAACTTGACAATTTTTGTTGTTGTTGTTGTTGTTTTGAGACAGAATCTTGCTCTGTCGCCCAGGCTGGACTGCAGCGGTGCCATCTCGGCTCACTGCAACCTCCACCTCCCAGGTTCAAGAGATCCTCCTTCCTCGGCCTCCTGAGTAGCTGGGATTACAGGCACATGCCACCAAGCCCAGCTAATTGTTTAAATATTTTTTCAAAAAGACAGGGTTTCACCATGTTGACCAGGCTGGTCTCGAGTTCCTGACCTCAGTTTATCTGCCTGCCTTGGCCTCCCAAAGTGCTAGATTACAGGCATGAGCCCCTGCGCCTTGCCGACAATTTTATTAACTTCAAAGCCCCATATTTCTTATCAGTAAAATGGGGATAATAATATAACTGCTTTTGTAGGACAATTAATTGAGATAATCAATGTAAATTCATTAGCATAGCATCGACTTAAATAAATGTTAGCAGCAGCAGTAAGAAGTAGTACCAA